CAAATGAGGATAAAAAAGTCTTAGTACATATAAAAAGAGTCAGTTTCAAAAAAGAAAAAAAGGAATGTATTTTCCAAATTTCAAAACTTAAATAGTGTATTTTTCAAAAACTCCCAGAATTTAATTCATATGGAATTAGGTGTGTTACTCATAACTTTGTGTTGATAGAGTGAGATATGATAGTTGGGAGGAGGAACGAATGCCTGATGCACAATCACTGGGCTTTTCCTATAAGTGGACAAACATTTTACCAATAAAGAAAATACGGTTACGGCTGGATCCATGGAATCGAAGATTATGCAGAGATCGGGAGACAAAAGGAATTTGAAACACTGGAAAAAGTTTGGGCTATCAATAGAGGTTAGGCTGGTTTGGTTAGCGACGTCAAATGTGCTAAACACCATAATTACCAGATTTGAAACGACCTAAAGATGGCCTTGCATCTTATGCTCAATTTGTTCCCACTATTTTCACTTTGTTCTGGGGAGAGGAAATTACAACTCAAGAACAGCAAAAAACCCATCACACATAGAGTTACAAATTGACAAGAAGCCATCAAAAAATAGAGACCATGGTCATGGCTGCAGCTACCAGCAGTGGCAAGAAGAACACTTGTCCGTGGGCAGCCCCACCGTAGTAAGGCTCTATCATAATAGGAAATCTGCAGGTTCCGGTTGAGGGATCCGTCTTGGTCACCTCTGATATGTTTGGAAACTTACAAGCTGTATCCAGCTGGTCGTTTATCTGGTAGTAACTGTTGAATGCATACGATATGTTTTCCTTCCCGTCCAGATTCCCGCATGATGTTCCAACCCCGAGACTGGTGCAGTCCCCACGGCTACACGCGTAGCTCACGCTAGGGGCCACCTGCGGATCGTCCAACCTCACGTTTGGCTTCATCACACACCACTTCCTCGATTGGTAGCGCACTCCTTTGGCCTGGATCAGAGCTCCTGTGTTAGTTGTCCCCAAGTTCAATGCGTATTTGGGTAAGCCGTCGAATGTGAATATCCCCCAGTGTCGTTCAAAGTATCCCGGCTGGACGCTTTTGGCGTCCTCGTCTATCAGGCTGAACAAGTATGCATCGATGGGACCAGGTCTCCTCGGAGTCCCCTTCCCGCCTGAGATGTGAGACATGAAGCCTTGGTTGAACTTCCTAGCGTAGTCCACGTTGGCATTCCTGTCCCCATCAGTAGGCCATCCGATTTCCCCAACTATGATAGGCATGTTTCCAAACCCATTCTTCTCCAAGGCATGTACTAGAGTGTCGTAATTTGCATCAAACATGTTGTAGTAGAAGGTCCCACCATCGCTCACGGGCTGTGAATTGCCGTCAAAGAAAGCGTAGTCGACCGGGAAATCAGCGTCGTTGTAGAGACTGATGAAGGGATAGATGTTAACAGTGAAGGGGCCGCCATTCTCGCTCAAGAACTTGACGATGGTAATCATGACATCACGAATATTGGCTCTGAAGTCCCC